TATGTTCACTAGAAAAACTTGGGATTTTCTTGTACACTATGGCTGGAAATCGTCCCTGCAGAGATGCAAACAATCGGTGGATCCGCTCCAACTCAACAATGTCTATTTACTTCCACCAAGTTTTGGTGTCTATGAACGACCTGGCTAGGAAAATTTTGAAACCAATGGATCCCAACTTCAGTGAATATCACCCTTTGATTCTTAACGAACGTTGGTTCAAACCATTTTACCAGTCAGTGGGTGTTATTGACGGCATGCATGTTTCAGTTGTGACTTCTTCAGCCAGGTTTATGCAACACAAGAATCAGCACCACATAACGATGAAAAATGTTCTAGTCATATGTGATCATGACGGGAGAATTATTTTCTGCGTTGCTAGATGACCAGGATCGGTTCACGACCAAAGGATTCTGAACGAGGCAGTGCAGTATTACCCCGACGATTTCCCACGGCTACCGTTTGGTGAGTTCAATTTTTTCCCTAAAATATTTGAATGGCATATGTTACTACATTTCAAGCTTGACTTGTAAAGCAAAAAAAATATTCTCTCACGTTAAACAGGAAGGTATCTACTTGTGGACTCTAGATTTCCTAGTAGGATGGGATTTCCTGCACCGTACTCACATGTATGATACCACATGGATCAACTTGGTGATGATAGAGCGTCGCCACCCGAAGGATGAGAAGAGACATTTAACCATTGACACTCGTCGTTGCGAGGTATCGTTGAAAGAACATTTGGTATCGTCAAAAAAAATGTGAAAAATAATGAAAGAAATACCGTATTACCAGAGGAGGGTGTTGCCACACACATTTCATACGTGCTGCTTTTGCTCTGCACAATTTCAGGTTGGATAGTAAGGATGTGAACTCCTGTCAAAATAATGCTATGTACAACGGCTATCCCGTGCCGCTGCAGAACGAATCGTTCGATCAAATGTACTATGCAACAAATAGCAAGCAGGCTATGAGCACCTTGTGTGACTGCATTGCCGATGAGGCCTACTATCGCTATCAGTAGGTGCTAAGTGACCCACATGTTATCCCTAATGCATGTTACGTCTGTTTTTATTAGTCCCGAAGAGTTTGTATGGTTTCAACTAGTAGTGATTTATGTACGGTCTAGTCAGTAGTGAGATTTGAATTGTGAAATTCAATTTGTGTTGTCTTTAATTATTATGCATGGATTTCGCATTTCAGAAGTGAGCTATCTTATAAATTGGGATTTGTATTATTCTGTGTTAATTTTTTTCATATTATTTGCAATATTACAATAAGGCTTAAATTTGTGTGGTGATTTTCATAGTAGCACCGAAAAAGAGTACAAATTTATGTCATCAGTTTCACAATAATTTTGATGCACTCATTTTTGTGTCAATTGTGTGATAAATCATTTCTTCATAATTGTCTGTCTAGTAATATTTTCGGCAACAAAAATAATCATTTTCTTCTCAATATATTGCAAGAACTCATAACATCTTATCAAGAATAAATTCTTAACAAATACAACAGACTAATGACATGGTTTAAGATGTTACATCGCATAATTACGAAATTTAAACCATATAAATAAATGTTTCATTTCATTAATTCTTTTTTCTCTTTGCAAGTTTGCATTACAAGCCTTCCGCTTATCGTCTGATATAATTGCCCTTCACAAAATTATTTCCTTTTCAATCAAGCGACGATACGCATGTGCGTGTAGCAAAGCCTTGCGCCAAGCCGGGTCATCGCCTGCATCTTGACGGATTTTGTCGGCGGGCAAACAGCGTCGTCGATGCCTTCCCCGTCTGTCTGCCATGAACAGTGCGCAATAGTGCATCCACAGTACCAAAGTTCCTAACCGCAAAAATGAGTTGCCAACTAGTACTTACATACTACAAACGAAGGCCCGGTCTAGTTCCTAACTTTTTCTTTAAACTTCTAACTTTTTCATCACATCAAAACTTTTCTATATACATAAACTTCCAACTTTTTTCTTTAAACTTTGAGGGCCTCTTTGAATCAAAGGATTTATATAGGAATTTCATATGATTCAAATCATATAGAAAATTTTCCTATTTGGCCATTTGATTCAAAGGATTGAAGCTTTCCAAATACTATGAAATTCCTATGGAATGGCACATTGCATGTGTATTTTGGAGAAAATATAGCAAGAGCTCCAACCTCTTGGAAAATTTTCTTCGAGTTTATCTCTCTCACCCGATTCCTGTGTTTTTCCTGCGCTCCAATCAAACGACCATTCCTGTGTTTTTCCTGTGTTTTGCAATCCTCTATTTTACACTTCAATTCCCATCGGAATCCTGTGCTTTTCCTATTCCTCCATTTTTTTCAACCCTGCGATTCAAAGAGGCCCTCAATTTTAGTCAAACTTCCAATTTTGGCGCGGAACTAAACACAACTGAAGCCTAAGAAATGTGATAAACTTTATCAAAATTGATCCTAAGAGAGTGACCTCAAGGAGAATTACTGAGGAGTATTGCAAGTTTATATTTGCTAACCCTTCATGGAACTGGGTACACATAAAGGCTACAGTGTAAGGAGAGATATTTGCCGATGTTTTAATTGGGAGGCTGAAGAGAACAAAGGCCTCACTGATGAAGGAAGCACTGGATACAACTAAAGTAAGATCTAATTGTCATTTGAGTATTATTCTATAGATAATAATATATGTAACTAAAGTAAGATCTAAATTGCAAATATTTCAATAGAGAAATCTTCACTTTTCAATTTAATTCAAAATTTGAAAATTTCAACTAAAACATAAAAACTTTTAATTGAAATCTAAAGCTTTCAACTAAAACTAAAAACTCAAAACTTTCTACTCTGATTTTGGAAAGTTTCCGCGTATAGCCTCAAATGTTTAGCCAAAATAACATGAAAACTTTCAACTTCAATTAAACTCGAAAACTTAATTGAAATCTAAATATTTCAACTAAAACTAAAAACCCAAAACTTTCTGCTCAGATTTAGAAAGTTTATACTCGTAGCCTTAAACGTTTAGCCAAAATCAAAAAAAACTTTTAAATTTAACGACCTTGAATCTTCGACAGAGTACATGTAAAATATGTTTAGTAACATGTCTTTATAGAGCTTAGTAAAGAAGGAAGAGTGAGATGCAAAACTGACTGACAATTCTCTGTGGAGAAGAGATATAGGGTTAAGATAAACGATCCACCAGATAAGAGAAAGTAGGAGATCTGGTTCGGTGGTATCGAGAGAAGCGGCGGCTTGCCTGGCTCGTTGAGCCTACGAGGGAGGAGTCATCAGGGAGAACAAGAGTGACATTGCCATGGAATTAGGGTCGCGCTGCGCTACATCACGTCACCACATGAGCAGTACGAGGAGACAAGATGACACTGCGTGAACTAGTATCAAGACAGTGGCGAAGCTATATTATGTGGGGAGGGGGGGGGGGGGAGTGCACATAGACTCTCAAAGAATTTTTTTTGAGAATTAATATTATTTTTATGGAAAATCGCAAAAGTAGTGGCTAACCGGGGAAAATCGCGAAAGTAGGTCCCTGTCGAACGGGTGCAATTCGATAGGGCACCTATCGAACGACGGGCAGTCGACAAAGCCCTGTCGAACGGCTGGCGTTCGACACGCTCACCTGTCGAACGGAGGGAGTTCGACAGGGCCCACAACCCGGCGCCGCGAGGCCTGTCGAACCGGGGGCGTTCGACAGGTCCCTCCACCGACCCTGTCGAACAATGGGCGTTCGACAGGCCGGTTTAAAGCCCCGTCCACCCAGGCCGCGAGTTCGATTTGTTTGAGGACCACATCGCCAGCCACCGCCGAGAGTCGCCACATCGTCGCCGTGAGCGCCGGAGGGAGCGAGGGGAGGGGATAGCAGGCCGGAGAGGAGGCCGAAGAGGCGCCGGCCGGGAGGAAAGGGTTGGCGACGCCCTCCAGCAGTGAAGTTAAGGTATACATTAGTAATCCCTAAGTACAATGCATATGAAAGTTTAATAAAAAATTGGTTTAAGAGTTGTTAATTGTTTCGCATTGTTCGATGTTAGTATGTATGATTAGCACATATTTGTTATTGCTAAATGTTGGTAGAGGTATTTAAGTAATTGTACGGTTAAATTAGTTCTTAGTTAGTACATATTATTGATATGTTGTGTGTTAAAATAGGTACAAAGGTGTTATATTTTATTTGGATTATTAAACTAGTTGTTTGTTACTAATAGTTGTAAATTAGTACACGGCAATGTAGTATAAGTTGTAATAGGTTAATTATCGAATGATTAAATGATTAAACGTGAGACTATTTGTCATGTTTTATCAGGATGTCAGGTGATATGCCCATTCGTCTGTATTATGGCGATGCTCCTATACAAATATGTGATAGCGGGGTGGATTTGACTGTATATGCCTTCCATGATACTAGTCTGAATGCACCGGAGCATATGGGTTTGAACGACGTGTTAGGGTGGTTGTATAATATGTTTGGGGTAGATCCAGTGCACGATAAATTTGTCATAAATGCCGTGTGGCTAGTGAGGGGTCAACATGGATGGCAGTGGAGAGTAGTGGAGGTTGCGTCAACTGGGAGTTGGAGGAAGTTTGTTAGTAAAGTAAGGGAGAAAGGCTATAGTCTGGCAATAGTGGTGCAGAAGACAACATGTGTTGATCGATCGGGGGAGTCAAGTCATGCCGTGGTGGAAGAAACTCCGTTGGAAGGTGGACAAGCTGAAAATGTTTGGCGGACTGAGCAAGGTCGAGGGGAAGAAGTAGTAGAGGGTAATACACAAGGAGAGGTCATTGTTCGTGGTACTAATCGTGAGGCCAACGACTCAGACGATGAAGAACCGGATTCGCCTATGCGTGTTGATGCAGCGGAGGAGAATAAGGCGGTAGTGGATCAGATGGAAGTGGAAAACGAGGAATACCTTGCGCTTGTAGTGGAAGGAGAATATACAACACTGTGGGACAACGAAACTAACATACCCGATGATTGGACGACCATATCAATGAGTCGTATGAAGGTACCGCAGTGTTACACGATGGAGGTGTTTTCCTCCACAAGGAGATAGCACCGTCCCCCACCAGGCAGCGATTACTGACACGTTTGCCCCTCAGCCTAGATCAGCTTACAACTCAATGGTACGTGTTTATTTGTGGAATTTGAGTAACTAGTTCAATATTTTTAAAAAGTTAGCAAGTAGTTCAGTATGTCTAATAAATGTGCAATTGGTTCAACTAGTTCCTTTTCTTACATAAATGTGGAACTAATTTAGTATTTATAAATGATGTGCAACTGGTTCATTATTTCTAACAAATGTGCATCTTGTTAAATACTCTTACTAAATGTGCAACTGGTTAAATAATTTTAATTGCCTTGATTATTTGTGGAACAGGCGGAATTTGTTGAGCACGTTCACGTGGAGTCCGACACCCTGCTGCAAAGACTAGAGGCGAGACCTCCAGTCGTCAGGCCTGACGACGTGGCGAGCATCCTTCGCAACTTCCGTGCACGTGCTGCCGCACTACTACGTCGTGTCTCCTGTCGGAGCGCGGCAGATGTGGTGCAGACGTCGGGCCGACGGCCATCACCACCACTACCCCGACGTTCCAGCGTGGATCGGAGTGGTCTATCCTCTTCACGTCGCGGGTACGAAGCGGCCCACACATCTCATGGTCGTCCTTCCTTTCAGCACACCCCAGCACCGGAGTACACCAGGGGGTCAGCCGGATCAGGGGTACCCACGTCGAGCACAGCACCACCACGTCCGCAGGTATTCCAAACTCCGCCTTATGTTCACCCCTCGCAGGGAGCATCTGGGTCGGCACACTTCCCTTACATGCCAACGGGGGACAACGTGTTGAACACACCAGCATGGGGACTTCATATCACTCCGCGTGCGCCAGAGCAGGGCCACACACAGCACACATGTAAGTCATTTTAAACAATAACACGCTTTAGTTTCTAATTATATGTATCGTTACTAACTACGCCATATTTTTTGGTTTCTCCCTCTTGTGCAAACAGACGATGAGTACAGTTCGGCGTCGACGCATCACGGAATGCCTGCTTACTCCCCTCGCACAGCATTCATTGAGGACTTCTTTTCCACTGATCCTCCCCAGGGGGAAGTAGGGATGGATTACTGGCACGCAGCACCTCAGGTCACACAGCTGACGCAGGAGACAAAGGCCGGTCAGGGGCCAGACGTGACACCACAGCAGGCAGCTAGAGATAGGCACCCCCCTGATAATTTGACATATCCCACTGAGCAGATTAGGCGTAGGAAGAAGGGAGGACCTAGCAAGCGTGCGAAGGGCACTGATCGTCCTTGACTTATCTATTTGTATTAAACTTTTAGTCATTTATGTTCTGTCCGTACTATTTGAGAAACACTTTACGATTAACTTAGTACTATCAGTACTATTTCATAAACTTCTTCGGATAATTACTCAGTAGCATACCCTTCGAATGAATCATGACAAATTATCATTCAAATATACAAATAATGAAACTAAATAATTCAAATATTTTAACCAACAAATAAATACTACAATTTCTGACCAAACATTATCAAAACCCTAAATCATATACATATAACATTACAAAAATATTTTCCTTTCTTACACACTAAAATAAATTACATATTATTAAAAAAATAACTTATTACAAATAAATGGAGAACGCGACCCTGTCGAACTGCGCCAGTTCGACGGATATCCTATCGAATAGGGGCAGTTCGACAGCCCTGCCTGTCGAACAGGGGCAGTTCGACAGCCCTGCCTGTCGAACGGGGGCTGTTCGACAGGTCCTGTCGAACGGCAGCCTTCCGATCTCCTCGCCAGTCGCGCTCTGGCCGTTCGATAGGCGCCCTATCGAACTGCACCCGTTCGACAGGGACCTACTTTCGCGATTTTCCCCGGTTGACCACTACTTTTGCGATTTTCCATAAAAATAATATTAATTCTCAAAAAAATTCGACTCTCAAATTCTTAATTTCTGACTTAAAAACACTATAATGTACAGTGTTGTACTGAAATTTTATAGATTCTCAATGGTAGTGCACCTAATTATTTTGATGCTAGCTTTGCACCCGTATGAAGGGAAAGGTATATGCACTTCTCTTACGGGTACGTGTACACAAAACAATAAACCTGATGTGGCATCACTAGTATGTACTTCATCCGCTCAAAATATAGATATAGGATCGAATCCTATCTTACTATAAAATTATCCCCCACTAACTCCTTAAGCTTAACATGTAAAGATGTCACATTATCATCCACTAACAAGATGCCACATCATCATCCACTAACAATCATCACATTTAAACATCATGCAAACATGCTATATCTTTATAGGTTTTATAATTTAAGAGCTTTTCAAATATAAACATATTAAATTATCATCCAACATAATTCACATAATGTTTCAATGTATATTTTTATTACGTTTTATGATATCCTTAATCTACGGTCCAAACTATCTCCCTACTTTTTTTCTTAAATGAAGTCATACCACCTTACTTTTTACGTTTGAATCGCCATTCTACATACTATTTAAATTTAAATTATCATAAACCATATTAATTTACTTAATCTGATGTTATCTAGCTATCTTACATATTATTTTTTATTGTTATCATACTAAACTAGCATGGTGGCCCGTGCAAATTGCGCGGCTAGCATCATTATTTTTTCTCTCATATAATAGCATATATGTTTTCTCATTATATTATTCAAATATATTAAAATGACAACATAATTTTAAATTTTGCAATAACTTTACAAAACTACTAATGTGTAATATTCATATTATATTTTATATACGTGATAGTTATTAATTATTTTTAATATCAAATTTTAGTTATTTGTAAATTATATATATTCCTATATGGATTCTAGACTTGTCTTTTAATATTTCTTTTTTTAATTCTGAATTTTCTGTAAATTGTATTTCTATATAGACTATATGATTTTCTTCCAATATTATTTATTTTTATTTCTGATTTTTCATATTATATTTTATATACTTGTTAGTTATTAATTATTTTTAATATCAAATTTTAGTTATTTTTATATTATATATATTCCTATATGGACTCTAGACTCGTCTTTTAATATATTTTTTTAATTCCGCATTTTCTGTAAATTGTATTTTTATATAGACTCTATGCTCTTCCTCCAATATTATTTATTTTTATTTCTGAATTTTTATTATTTCTAATTGTATTTCTATGTGGACTCTAAACTCATCTTTTAATATTATTTAATTTTTTAATTTTGAATTTCAGTTACTTCTAAATTGTATTCCTATGTTGTCCTTAAACTATTCTTCCCATGTTTTTCTTAATTTTGAATTTTAGTTATTTGTAAATTGTATTTTTATACAGACTCTAAACTCTATTTTTAAATTTTATTATGTTTATTCCAAATTTTAGTAAGTTTTAAATTCATATATGGACTCTATACTCTACTTGTAATATTCCTTATTTTTTAATTCCGAATTTCTATTTTTTTTCTTAATTGTATTTCTATATGGACTCTATACTCTACTTCTAATATTCCTTATTTTTAATTCCAAGTTTATATTATTTCCTAATTGTATTTCTATATGGACTCTATACTCTACTTCTAATATTCCTTATTTTTAATTCCGAATTTCAGTTATTTCCTAATTATATTTCTATATGGACTCTATACTCTACTTCTAATATTCCTTATTTTTAATTCCGAATTCAGTTATTTCCTAATTATATTTCTATATAGACTCTAGTCTTCTCTTCTAATATTCCTTTTTTTAATTCCGAATTTCAACTATTTCTAAATTGTATTTCTATATGGACTCTAGTCTTTTCTTCTAATATTCCTTATTTTTTAATTCCGAATTTCAGATATTTCTAAATTGTATTTCTAGATGGACTCTGCCTTTTCTTTTTCTCCGATTAATGTGATAATTTCTAGGCCATGAGAGCGAACGTGGAGGCTCCTTTTTCTTTTCTACATGGACTCTAGTCTCCTATTCTAGTATTCCTTATTTTTTAATTCCGAATTTCACCTATTTCTAAATTGTATTTCTATATGGACTCTAGTCTTCTCTTCTAATATTCTTTATTTTTTAATTCCGAATCTCAGCTATTTCTAAATTGTATTTCTATATGGACTCTGTTTTTTTTTTCACCGATTAATGTGAGAATTTCTAGGCCATGAGAGTGAACGTGGAGGCTCTTTTTTCTGTTCCTTTAATAATATAATAGATTTCCGCAGTAATGCGCCGGATTTCACCAATATAGATAAATTTTCGGCCACATGTTTAATTGAATCGAGGGCGTAGGGAAGAATAAGAAATTTTTGGTGCGATCCACCGTCATCATCCCTGTACGGCCGTGGGGCGGGCGGGCGGACGGCTAAACCGAGAACCGGCATGGTGCGCCGCCGCCCCGCAAATCGACCTCTCGTCTCGCTCCCCTCCAGCTTCGTGGCGTGCCCTCCCCGATCCCCTTTGGCCTCGCCCCCGCAGTTTCCCCCCATCTCGCCGCAGATTTTGTTAATTTTCGCCTGCTTTTTGATCCGCCTCACCTTGTCGCGCAGGCGGGCACCCCGTCCCCCTCCTGCTCCGGCGGTTGGATTTACTCCGGCCATCCTCAGGTCAGCTACTCGCCTAATCACATCCATTAATTCCTACCCGCCTATTCGTAATAGCATTGTTCATCGGTGGTGTGCTAGTGCTACTCCCACATTCTTTGCGTTTTCTTTACAGGAGGTAAATTGTATGGTCGATTCGATCGATTGTGCCGAAATATCCCAACAACTGCTCACGGTAATTAAGCCGATTACGTGATTGTTACTACCCCACGAATGTCACAATCTTACTATATATGTTACGATTTCTTATCTGTTGCTTGCAACCATGAGTAATTTTCGCTAGCCTGTAAGAGAACAATATTTCTTGCAGAATATCCTGTGACAATGCAGAAGTTTCTTACAAATCAGTTGATGGACCCTGAGTTCCTCTCGACACTCAAGGCTGTTGTTGGCCCGATCTTTCGGTGAGTTGTGATAACTACGATTTGGGAGAAACGTTGACGATCCGACTACAACCGTACGAGACGTTGTGTTGCGCCTTAGCGATCGATACACCTCTCCGTGGGTTGTTGATCTTGCCGGTGCAGATCAACCCTATTCCTGCAAGCAAATCGAAGAAACAAGCAAGAACAAGATAAAAGCAATCTGATATTGCAAATAGGAATTTAATACAAATGATATGTTGGGGTTCCGAAGAACAAGCAGACGGACGGTCTAGCCGACACGCGCGCTGCAAGCAAGTAGCAATGGCTAAACTTTAATTTAACAAAACCCCAGAAACCCTGAAGGGGTAATTAGCTATATATAGGGGTGGGAGGACGACCTAGGGGTGCCTAGGGTCGTGCTCCACCAGCTTGGGGCGCACCCCACATGGGCCCCACCTGGGCCAGGGTCCCAAATGAAGTTACAAGCCCATAGGCCCATTACAGGTGTCGCAGCACCTTGTTTCTTCAGTTGCTGCCGACTGAGATGGAATTTGGCAATGAGGCTTGATGCATTGGAAAGAGGACTCCGAGAGTTTTCCATCAAGTACTCACGGGCCGAAAACGGAGGTCGGATGGAGCTTCGGCGGCCGTTTGAAGTCAGCAGTGTAGCAGGTGGCCGAATTGGATTTTGGCACTTGGAGGACTCGAACTTGATATCTTGTTGTTCATCCATGATGTGAGCAACGGATGTATCCGTAGTAGCCATGGTCACATCATCCTCCCCTTCTTCACGGAAAACCGTCCTCGGTTTTTCCATATGGTGTTCTTCATATAGTCCATTCAAAATAACCTGTTTCATCCAATAACATGTTTCTCTAAATCCGAACAAATGAAAACTCTATGCACCAAATATATTCCTCTATCATTATATTTGCCAAAGATATAAAAAATAGCATTAGTTGGACATGGCAAATCAGACTTAGCAAATAATTTCTCCTTCAAATTATCGAGCTCACAAAAATCATCAAACTGAACATAGCCCAAAGTATTTAAAGAAGATAGCAATTTACGTTCCTCAACTTCATTAGCAATGTGAACAGCATGCTTAAAATCAGCACACAAAGAAACACTAGGAATAGCATGTTCATTCACTAGTTGTGGCATGGATATAAGTGAAGCATTATCACACAACTCTTCTTTATCACAAGGAACAGCGAGTAAATCAACTTGTGACAAAGGAATTCCAGCATTTGGTTCCACTAACGGTTGCTCTACTTTTGCATGAAAAGTGGACAAATTTACTTCGTTAACAATGCACTCACCTTGATTAATTTCAGTACCATTTACTTTACCTTGGATGTCCTCTTTAGATGATGGAGGTGTCTCGAACTTGAGTGTGAACAATGGAATTGGTGGCTCTTTCATGTCTCTCTCCTCCTTTTCGTGATTACACACTTCCTGCAAATAGTTAGTAATTGGAGGCAAAGACATAACGTGTTTCTTTTTCATATTCTCCTCTATTTTACTTTCAGCATTGCAAGCAAATTGTAACAAATGAGAAAGAGATGTATATCTTTGACAATCAAGCATGTCCTGAATTTCTTTGTTAAGCCCACATAAAAACCTCAATTCTTTAGCTTCTTCGCATTCATCTAAACCACAACGTAATAAACAAGCTTGCATATCATGATAGTATGAAGTAACAGTTCTGGTATCTTGTTTTAAACATTGCAGTTTGTTGAACAAAATGTCAGCATAATACATGGGAACATAAACATCTCTGAAATATCGTTTCAGGTCTTTCCAAGATTGTGGTATTTTGTTATGCCTACAAAGATGTTTCCAATCATTAGAAGCATGTTTAATTAAAACACTAGAGGCACACATAACCTTTTGTTTCTCCGACAAGACATGCTTTTGAAATTCACTACCAACCGCTAGCTCCCAATTAATGTAAGCACGAGGATCATAGTTTCCCTCGAAATAAGGCAGTGCAGATTTGATCTTACCTAGAACATCATCACTTACCTCATAATGGTCATGTTGATCCCTCCTCATGTCTCGACGAAGATGTCGATGTTGAGCACAGCTATCCCCAATTATCTTGCGTATCCCTGCCATTGTTAGTAGAAAACAAGAAACATACACAAAAATATGCGCGTTCCTATTAACTACTAGGTAGTGGCAGCTCAAAAATCGCACACACTCAAGCTTGTAACCAAGCTCTTACAAGATCTTACCAATGCAAGTGGAATGGTGACATACACCGACTCAACCAAGCACCCCAATAAAGGTTGGATGTATCGATGCCTTGGCAAACACTTGCGGTACGGCTGTAATCAAATATGTGGAGCTCTGGGTAGGCTTATATATGTAGCAAAGGAATAGCAAATGCTCAAATCAGATAATGCAAAGTTGAATAATTGTTCAAAGTCAAGTACCGTGCTGGTCCTAGGCTAGAACGTACTAGAGACGCGAGCCTAGACACAAACGATACCACAAGATAGCACTAGGAACAACTCATGCACAACTCTGATATATGAAGTTCAGCTCAAACATAACAGTATTTTCACTTTTCTTTCTTTCTTCTTTCTTCTTTTCTTTTTTTTTCTTTCCTTTTCTTTTCTGTTTTTTTGGTGCGGCTTTTTTTTCACCTTTCTGCCTTTTTTTTCTCACTTTTTTCTTGATTTTCTTTTTAACAAAAACTGACTCAAGGACCTTAATGTAAGATTACAGGGACTCAAACATAAATATAAAATTTACAGGGACTCAAATGTAAAAGTCTAAACCCAAAATTAAAATTATACAAAAAAAATGGAATGCTGAATTTATGCCGGTTCCGTTTTTCCAAACAGATCTCGAAACCGACACCAAACAAAAATTCGCCAAGGTGTTTGACACAACTCGGAACCGTGGAAGAGAGGGAGGGAGTCGGACTCGGCCAAAGGGGCAAGTGGGACTCGGCAAGGAGGTGGAGTGGATGGCAGCCGAATTTGGTGTATGGGATAAAAAGGAAACTGATTTTTAACCAATCCAATCTACTATATCTTTCCAAAACAAACTTGACTACTTCCAAAATCAGATATGGTAATTCACCTTCCTCCTCTCGTGCACGACACATGCACGGCCAAAACAAACGCACACAAGGATCGGCAAACTCTAGATGCAACTCAAGAACTCCAAAACTAACCGACAGAAACTTCTGAAAACTACAAAAATAGAACCGTGGCAGCGAGCCGATTCCGTTTTCGTAGGTCCCGACAACAACAGAGACACGGTGGCAGCGACGACTGTGGTACAAAACGTGACCAGAATTCGAAACTCTAAACGAACCAGACGCTAAGACCAGCAACACGACGTGACGATGCAACACAAAATTCAACAAAGCAAAAACTGAAAAGAACAATGAAATGGCACAATATGGCTAGGTAAATGATACGAATTTTTTTGTATGGCTATTTTCTGGTTATAGGAAGATAAAAACTCACCAAGCAACGAAAGCTCTGATACCACTTGATGGACCCTTAGTTCCTCTCGACACTCAAGGCTGTTGTTGGCCCGATCTTTCGGTGAGTTGTGATAACTACGATTTGGGAGAAACGTTGACGATCCGACTACAACCGTACGAGACGTTGTGTTGCGCCTTAGCGATCGATACACCTCTCCGTGGGTTGTTGATCTTGCCGGTGCAGATCAACCCTATTCCTGCAAGCAAATCGAAGAAACAAGCAAGAACAAGATAAAAGCAATCTGATATTGCAAATAGGAATTTAATACAAATGATAAGTTGGGGTTCCGAAGAACAAGCAGACGGACGGTCTAGCCGACACGCGCGCTGCAAGCAAGTAGCAATGGCTAAACTTTAATCTAACAAAACCCCAGAAACCCTGAAGGGGTAACTAGCTATATATAGGGGTGGGAGGACGACCTAGGGGTGCCTAGGGTCGTGCTCCACCAGCTTGGGGCGCACCCCACATGGGCCCCACCTGGGCCAGGGTCCCAAATGAAGTTACAAGCCCATAGGCCCATTACAGGTGTCGCAGCACCTTGTTTCTTCAGTTGCTGCCGACTGAGATGGAATTTGGCAATGAGGCTTGATGCATTGGAAAGAGGACTCCGAGAGCTTTCCATCAAGTACTCACGGGCCAAAAACGGAGGTCGTATGGAGCTTCGGCGGCCGTTTGAAGTCAGCAGTGTAGCAGGTGGCCGAATTGGATTTTGGCACTTGGAGGACTCGAACTTGATATCTTGTTGTTCATCCATGATGTGAGCAACGGATGTATCCGTAGTAGCCATGGTCACATCATCAGTTTGGGATAAAAAATCACGACAACTTTCCAAGGTACGTATTCTCACTGCTATTACCCACCTCCAACTAACCTACCTGTGAACCTGTTCAAGTTCATGACCTTTGCGTTCTTCATTTCTGATCTATGTGCATTGCATTTTTTTGACGTAAGAAGGTAGAGCTGGTTCTACCTTATAGCCATTTCATTGATAAAATGGAGAAGAATAGAGTTACTGAGTGGGGAAACATGAGAAGTAGGAGTAGAAAGTAGAATATACAAGAAATTTAGAAACAAAAAACATTCAAGTTTGTATTTACATTAGCTCTGTGTGATTGAGTCACACCAGAATGAAAATTTCTCTTTAATGGCTGCGTTGGCCCGGAGTTTCCAAAGTTCAAGACAGTCGATAATTTGCTGGATTGTGTCTGAAAGTCTGGCTTGTTGCTTGTCGAAAAATCTGCGGTTTCTTATTTTCCAAAGTGAGTATGCACAGGCAGCAAACCAGATGCGCATTGCATTTTAGTAACAGTTAGTATTTGCTTTCATCTCATACTACTGCTGTGTCGAGCCACAGATGTAGATTGATTTTGGATGCCATTGGATACAGAGGTTGGTTCACCTCGCCTTCTGAGAATTTACTTGTCTCCAGTGATCCTATATTAATTCTGGCTGACCAGTTGTTTCCCCAGATTATAGACCACCTAATTTCGCTCCTATCTCTTTACATAGCTACGATCATATTGGCTCCTCGACTGAACATAGATTCTTTCACCTATCTTCCATAATTATTAGGGGCTATTGCTTATTTGACCCCGTTTTGAACCCTAACTACCAATTTGACCCTACTTTTTAGAGTTTGCTTATTTGACCCTCCTTTTCAAAAATGAAGCTCCCGTCTGACCCTGTTTCCACTAGTCCGTTAAGTTTTGATTTAAAATAAAAAAAAAATGCAACTATTATTCATAATACCCACAATACCCTTAGGAAACCCTATCCATCCACCCCCAACCCTATCCACATTTCTCTCTCTCTCCTTACGGCGGCGCCGGTGCTCTGATGGGGCGGCGGAGACGGCGAGCCAGCGCCGGCCCTGGTGACGACGACGACGAGGAGTGGCGGCGGCGAGTTCTTCTCCTCTCCTCTACGGATCCACCACAGGAGAGGCGGTGAATGGCGAGACGGTGAGCCGGCACCGGCCCTGCTAACGACGAGGAGTGGCGGCGGCGAGTCCGAGCGGTGGAGCTCGAGCTGCGGTCAGCGGATCTGGCGCCACCGCCGCCGCCTCCTCCCTCCTTCCTCGCGCCTGCGCCGGGGCCGCCGCCGCCGCCTCCTCCCTCCTTCCGTGTGCCTGCGCCGGCGTCGCCGCCGCCGCCTTCACCTCCCTCATTCCGCGCCCCTCAGCTGCCGCCGCCGACGCTCCCTCCCTCCCTCCACGAGCCGGCGCGGCCGATCGCCCCCTCTGTGCGCCGCCACCGCAACTCGCCCCTTCGTCAGCCGCCGCTGCCGCTCCCTCCCTCCGCCCCCTCAGAGCGCCGCTGCCGCCGCAAGTCGCCGCCCCATCGGCGCCGGCTTGCCGATCCGTGGAGGAGAGGAGAGGAGAGGAGAGGAGAAGAGAAGAGAAGAGAAGAGAAGAGAAGAGAGAGGAGATGAGAAGAGGAGAGGAGAAGAGAGAACTGACGGGTGGGTCCCACATGTAATAGGGCCAAATGAGTAAGGGCAGAAGAGACATTTTGTGCTTCAGTTAACACCGTTAGATGCCCTTAACAGAACAGGGTCATACGGGAGCTTCGTTTTTGAAAAGGAGGGTCAAATAAGCAAACTCTAAAAAGTAGGGTCAAATTGGTAGTTAGGGTACAAAACGGGGTCAAATAAGCAATTGTCCCTAATTATTAATGCCAATTAAATTTTCTCTCCTATCATGGTAATTCCTTTAATGAGCATGTCATATATATACACCACCAATAAAAAGCAAGTGGTGGGGGTGAGTGGTGAATTTGTCTCGCCACCAATTCCCTACTTTTTGTGAAGGTAAAAAAAGAAGAGCATTGGCCAAAGGACCCCACCTATTAGCTGAAAGGTATGCATAAACTAAAAATGAGATCTGGAGAAAATGATGGCAAAAATGGGTTGATGACAATGTTTGTCCCCTCTCCCCCGGCCAAAAAAAAAGTGCCCTTTGGTACCTTCTTTTTCTCTTCAACTCATTTAATGTCTACAATACATTGTACATGATCACAACATTGGGAGTGCTCTACGCCTACGGCCTGTCTAGATGGATGAAATGTCGTGATAGCTGGGCCCTGGATGCAAGAAAATTTTAAGCTTTACAGAAATGTGTTTTACATGTATGGTTGAGCCTGACTATGAGCCCCACATTACATCTAGTCCACTGTCCATGTGGTGGTGTTCAATTTTGTATGTGGTTATTTTTACAAATGTACTAAAATGGTTTCCTGAGCCATGATCATCCCTAATCACCTGCGTTCGACCTTTTGGCTGATTCTGTGCTTGGGCTAGAAGGGAGAGTGGACTCCGCAGAGGGGAGAAGTAATGGTTGACCTGCATCTAGGTTTGGGCCCAAGAAAACATGGAAGATTTCATTGGAGAGATGGGTAAAAACATTTTTTCTTCGTTGTTTATACTTCATAAGCACGTGAAATGTATTTACTCCTGCATAAAACGCTAGCCATTAAAAATTGATTTTATTTTAAGATTCATATACTTTGTTTAAATAAATGTACCACAAAGCCCTTTAAGAAATTGTTTTTTAGATCAGAAAATATCAAATTTAGTTCAAAAATATTGTAGAAGCAAACTGTACTATTTGAAAGCCACTTGACATGTTTCAATACTTCTGAAAACCTGGAAGTCTCTTTTGGCTCCTAAAAATTGGGCAAGCAGGACTTAACTTTGATATTTATAATCATGGTTTATTTTTTGGGAACACATACATTGTGATTGTGCCTGACTTTATCCAGCTAATATATTGGAAAGTACAAAATGCATCCTAGTAAACAAAGAAATCATGTGTTGATAGAGTTACAAGGCACAGTAACATCTAAACTAACTGACTTGACTATCCCCTTGTTGGTCTACCTGAGAAGGCTGATCATTTTGTTGCTCCTTTTCGCTGGATAGAATCTTGTGGAGTGCAGCAAAGCATAGTGTAGTGATAACAAACTCCATGAAATATCCAGAAGACTCTGACCTCATTCTGGAGCCAGCCATGTAGGCTAGTAGGAGGCCGAGCAAGTTCATGACCATGGTTAAATGCATCACCTTAAACGACCGGTTCTCCCTTAGCAGTTTCTCCGGTAGCAACAGGATGATAACAACAATGGATGCCATGAAGGAAAAAGAGTTGCTGTAAAAGAAGATGAGGTAACGGTACCTTCTGTTGTCATGCATAACTGGGTCACCGGCTGCATGACCATTGCTATTGCCCTGCCACACACCCCCAGGTGGGTTGAGGCCGGCCTGGTAAGTAACACTTGCCGCCAAGACTGCTAACAACATCAAGTATTTGCGTGTTGCATGTTTCTTTTTTGAGTCTTCCTCTGTCCTGAGAGAGTCTGTGTCTGTTCTATTCTGTTCAATGGACTTGTTGGTTGTATTTTGTTTGGATTCACCCTCATATTTTATTTCAGAGGATTCCACTGTGCTGTCATCTTCCTTTGTTTTAGGGGACTTTGCTGCTGTGTTATCTTCTTTTATTTCATCAACAGACTTTGTCTCAGTGAAGGCTTCTTGTTTCACAGGGGTCTTAACTCCACTTCCTGTCTCTAAATCTTCTTCGTTGGTTGACATGCTTCCTGTATTGACATCTCTATGATAGAAACATATTAGGACTAAGATCATAATGAAGAGCACTAAAGCTACCAACCCGAAGATATATATGGATGTTTTTAGGTGTTGGGTGCTTCCGGCAGCATAGGCACACATGAGAGCAAACATGCCTACCGCTGTGCAAACTGAGAGAGCATAGCTTCGTATGGCTGGTCTGTACAGGATTGGGTTCACAAGGAGTATAATGAGTGCAATCGATGACATGAAGCTCACTGAGTTGCAGTAGAAGAACGCCTTATAACGGCTTGGATAGTTGTAAAAGATGACAGGGTCGCCTGCATTGTGCCCAAACTCATCATCCTTCAGACGAAACCCGCCTGGTGGGGTCAACCCAGCTTGATAAGTGAGGGTCGCACCCAACACAGCAAAAAGGAGCAACCTCTTGCGCCTCTTGTCCTCAAGCTTCCTGTCCTTGTCCCCACCCTTCTTTCCTATGTCCTCATCTTCAAGTGTGACGAACAGAACATGAATAATCACATAGACTAGGACAGCTCCAGCCAAGGCAATGACATAAATGGATGTGGTTACATCTCTGCAGCTCCCAGCAGAGTATGCACCAATTAGGCCAAACAAATCCAGTATCATGGCAAACTGTAGTATGCGGCGCTTGAGCATAGGTTTATACTGGACCAAGATGATGATGACCAAGGACGCTGCAAAGGCCATTGAGTTGCAGTAAAAAAATACCTTGTAACGTTCTGGTTGCATGGATAGGAGTATTGGATCGCCAGCCTCATGTCCGTTCCAGTTGTCCTGCCAAACACCACCTGGTGGGACTAGTCCTGCTTGGTATGTGACAGTTGCTACAAGAGTGGAAAGCAGTACAACAAGAGATTGAGCCTTCTCCAGAATATCCGCATTGCTTGTATTTGTGTCTGCTCCACCATTGCTCGTGTCCGTCTGCACTCCAACATTTCTTGTGGTCGGTGGTACACCATTGCTTGTGGGCAACTTGGCTCCACCATGGCTTGTGCCTGTTTGTTCTCTTCTACTGCTTGGGTTTGCCTGTGCTTCACCATTTCTTCTTCTCGTCCCATTACTTGACCTAGTCATTCATGAGCATGTGTATTTAAGATGGAATTGCATATGTCAATAATATTTGGAAGCAGAAAAATATACATGCATTCCATACCTGTCACTTGAATCTGACTGATGGAATATAATTGTCTTGAGGACAATAATGCATGCAAGAACGGCAAAAACTAGACTGCCCACATAGATGGTAGTGTCACTTTCTCGGCTGCTTCCGGTGGCATAGGCCCCCGCAAGACCGACAAGAGCAATAGAGATGTATGCTTTGAGCACTATAGTCCGCACTGGTCTAGTTGTGCTTGGAACCTTGTCATGGAGTAATGGGATGATGAGCCGCTTGTCTAGAAGCAGCATAATGGTGAGCAGGGACATGACAAATGCAGTAGCATTTAAGAGAAAGAATGCCTTCAGACGGATAGAATGGTGTTCCCGCATGACTGGGTCGCTTGCCTCATGGCCTTCCTTTCCTTTCCAGCTGAGATGTTGCATTTTGACTGCACAAGTTACAGATTGCAAGTTGCAACTGTCACTGGTTCGAACATTGTAAAGAATCTGATGGATCTAGTCATATCTGATGCATATGCCAGTACATTGCCTTGAGTCCTTAACACTGGGGAGAGTAGACTTTTTTTAGATTACACAACAATAAAAGTGCAAGTTGGATCTTAGATGTAATCTTAGCACGTACCTTTATTCAGCATCTGCTATTTAATTAAGCTCCATAGATATGGTGAAGAATCAGCTGGAACAAGTACTAGGGCTACTTAACAAAAGGTAGCAATTGTGTGAGTGACCATAAAATAGTTCTGGAGAGAGATTAATAAAGAGACTCACTAAGAAACGTATTTTTGGGGTAGATGTTAATAGTAGAACTCGTGCAATTTGAGATGCGGTCTGACTGACAAGAAAAGAGATCGTTTGTGAAGTCGTCGTTTTCATGCTGAGTACTTTGAAATAACTGTGATCCCTAACAGTAACAGCGTGTAGATCACAGTGACACAGAAACCTAATTGCTCTTAAAGCTAGATAACAGCATAGTAAAATATTATTCCTTATCGTGCGAGCCTGCCATGTGCACTGGATTCACACCTGCCTGAGTTCTCGTCCATCCTCAGATGAAACCTGAATTTACTGAATTCATACACAACAGTAGTCGTTCTTAATCTATCTATTATGTAGTACTAAATGAACTCGAACTTTGATCCACTACAAGCAAGCAAAAAAAAGGAGTTGGGAGTGGGGGTGGGACCTAAAATAAAAAAAGGGGCGAAATTTATCCCCTCCATCATTTGCCGAAATTAGAAAAACTGCTGCTCAATATACCTGAATTGTGCTAGAAAATCAAAATTAGGTTGATCAGATCTAAGACATCATTTGGTAGAGCCCCAACTTCTAAATTTAACTTCAAGAGTTGAGTCTAAAATAGAGTTGTGGAACAGCCTAAACCTAGCTCCACCTATCTAGTTCATTTTGTGATAGCGCTCTAGCCAGCTCCACTACAATTTTATATGGAGCTGAAACTGTTTGGCTAGGCTCTAACTCTAGAAGAGATGGAGTTAGAGCTAGAGCCGTGCCAAACAGGCACTAAATAGACTGGAAAAAGTCCAATTTGACTCCCTTAATTATAGGTTGAAATCTAATTTGTATAATTCGATCGCAAAACCGGGTATATCAACCCCTCAACTATTAAAACCATTCAAAATGACTCCCTCAGCTATTTCGTAGGTGGATGGCAATGCGCGAATCCATATAGCAGCCCAGTCGTTGTGAAGATTAAAATAGACATGGGGTGACAAGGGAAAAAAAGTGTGGGGCCCATGTGTCAGTCCCCACTCTTATCATCCCCTCTCTCCTCTCCTTTCTTTCACACAAAAGCGTTGACACCTTGACGGCGAGCGGTGTAGCTCTACTCGTCACCCTCCTCCCATGAGGGGAGCGGTGGTGATGATGGAGTGAGCTGACGAGGCAACCACCGCAACTGGGTCATGTCGTCTACCGCTGGAGCAACACGCTGCCATAGCAATGAAGGAGAGGAAGCCACTAGCATCGCATGATGACAGCACAAGGTAGACAATCCAGCAGCGCACTCCCACCTAGTGTCATCATAGGCTGGTGGTGGAAGTGGGTAGCTACCTGCGGCAACCGGCACACCCGCAGGTGCATCTCCCTTTAGCGGCGGCAGCGGTGGAACCCTCTATCCTCCACATGTGGTCATAGTCGCAGCCAATGTTCTTCTCGCTCAACTCGCTCCCGTTGCTGTCGTATGCCAATTTGGTCACACTGTCGGCTATCTCGCCCTCCTCGAGCCCAGACCCATTGCCACTCGAGCTGCCACCATGGAAGGGCAGACACCGGCCGTCACAGAGCAATATCCCCTTTGGGTTCTCTTAGTTGAGCCCGCTCCGGCTGGTGCTCGTGAAGCATGAGGTGGCCTCGGCGGCAGAGGAGTGTAGATCGAACGCCCACTCCACCAAGACGCGCACCGTTGCCGATGGCGACAAGGTCCACCTCCTTATGCAATGACGTGATCCTCGCCTACTGGGGCGTGCTCTTTGAGATGCCCATCCGCTGCCCACTGCGATTACATCCGTCTGGCAAAGAAGCAGCGACAATCGATGGTCGCGTCATCCTTGTTTGGCTCCGAGGTCGCGTCATTGTTTCTCATCGTTGTTTCGAGGGCATCGAGCCCCAGGACGGCATCGATCATGGCCTTGCTGCTTTAGATGGGCAGCGTGCTCTGGCAGTGGACTCGGTGGCGAGGGCTCATCACGAGCAAGCGCCTGGAGGACCACCCTGTTGCCACCCGTTGCCGCCTTGCTGCATCCCACCACTGCCCTGCTGCCATGCTCGCCGCCATCGTGAGGAAAAGAGAAGAAAGAGAGGGGCCAATGACAGGTGGGCCCCACATAATTGACAGCTATTTGGACTAGGCCAACATGCCACGCCAGAGAAAACTACTCTGATAACTGTTGAGAGAATTAAGTTACACCTATTTCATTTATTAGAGGCTCAAGATATATGGAATTGCGGTTTAGGAATATGAATAAGGTTAGATATGTATTTAAGGGACTCAAAGTGAACTTATTTCCAAATAGACCAAAGGAGGTAGTAGTTGACAGCCGGGTGAAATTTTAGTCCACTATACCTTATTACTCAGAATAAGTCTATTTGACATTCCTCAATTCTTGCTCTTGATTAAATCACCTCCCTCAACGTCGACACCACAACTCCTCCAACTATCGAAACCGGTATAAAATGACTCTGTAGTTTTGAGAGTGGTTTTCACTGATGTGGCGCCTACGTGTCATGGTTGACTTAGTCTTCATCTCACGTGACGGCTATACGGCGCTTACGTGGCATTAAAAATTCAATAGGATCCACATGTCAGTTGCAACCCTACCAAAAAAAAAAATCTATGAGTCTCACATGTCAATCACATGAAAAAATTAAAAATATTATGGGACTCACATGCCATCCCTAACCTCTAGTGGCCGTTGCTAGTAGTGGCGTAGCTAGCTAGGTGGTACTGTGGTCCGTGGACCACCTAAGAATTTGATCGAGATTAAAACAATAGTATATGTATATAATAAAATTGTACAGTGGACCACCCATTTAATTTTCATATTACATGTAGACGGACCATCCTTACTCTAAATCGTAGCTACGCCACTGACTCGCTAGTGGAGTCACAGCGGACGACGCCGGCGGCACGGGGCTACTTCATCCCAAAACGGAGGGAGGAGCTGGACCTCAGCACATCGCGCTTCGTCGTCCGGCTCGTCGCCGTCCGTCCACGCCTGCGGGGAACACAACCTCCTCCTCCTCCGCCGCCTCCCCCTGCGCCGCCGACGCGCCGTCGACCTTGGGCCTCTCCTCTGGCTCGGGCTCAACCTGCAAGCAGCCGCACACACACAGTCACAAACATTATTAAGAAAACATCGACCGAGATAGGAACGATCACTGCAAATCGAAACAAAAAAGAATGAATAATTAATGGATTGATCAGTCACTTCGGGCTTCTGTCCTCGGAGCTTCTTCGAGTGGTCGAACGCCGGCTGCAGGTGAGGTGGCACGCAGTCGATGACATTGCCGTCTGGGCTCTGCACAAGTCAACACGATAACCAACCACCAGCAGCTTAGCTCCGGCGCCGAGACCTCGAGTCTTTCTTCCTCCTCTCGACAGCAAGAGGACAAGCAGCTAGCTACTCCTAGCTAACAAAGCTAGCAGCTGACGGTGTGAGTGAGAGAAAAGAAGACTTCTTCAACCTGGCCACTTACGCCATGATCTTCCCGTACCTCCGCGGCTCATCCTTGCCATGGAACGGCAGCGTAGCGTCGTCGACCTCGTGCCATTACTCCTGTGCTTCGCAGATGCCAAGCAAGAAGAAGCCAGCAGCAGAAACGCGACTCTCTAGGGCGGCAGCGCCGGCGGTGACGGGGACACGGCTCTCTCTCCCCCCTTCTCCCCGGTCTCATTTTCTTCTTCGCGGAGGACAGCAAGGGAGCGTGGGGCGGCGACCGGTGGTGGACGGCGACGGCAGCGGGACGGAGTCCGGCGAGGGAGCTTCAGTGGACACCACGTCGAGCTCGTCAGGGACATCTTAGTGGGAACAAGATGGGAGATAGAGAGATATGGGTGAAGGATAAAGACTGATATGTGGGGCACTATATTTTAGTATTTGTTTTGTCTGATTGACATGTGAGTTCATTAAACTTTTATTTTTTATTTTTAACTGACGCGTAAGTGCCATGTAGACGCCAAATGGCACGAAAACTAAGTATCGATTTGCACCAGTTTTCAAGATGGGGAGACGTTAAACTTAGAATTGCGGTTGAGGGAGACTAGGGAGATCAAGTAGACTTATTCCTTAGATCGTAATATATTGCCAAAAATGGCCCACTTATGCTGTTAAATTGGCTGGTGTAGAGCAGCTTAATGGGCTAAAATGTGATCCACAGGACCACAGGCCACAGGAATTTGGCCCACTAAGAAATTAATAGGTCAAAAGGTAGGCAGGCTGACCCATATATTTTGGCCCACGTCGAATGTTTGGTAAGCTAGAATAAGGGGCATGGCTAGCTCGCACGTACGCGCGAGGAGGCTAGCTCGCGCGCACGCGGGCCTCCACCGACAACGACGTCACTAATCCTAACAATTAGTATTAATCATGGTGATTAGTGAAAATGCTATAGTAATTTCTCAATAAAAAACAAAAACAATTGATCTTGTAAATTTTCAAAATACGATTTGAAAGTTTTTCAAAAATATCGATTTGAAAATTTTCAAATCCGAGTTAGAAGTTTTTGTATTTTGAGTTGAAAGTTTTCAATTTTGAGTTGAAAGTTTTGAAATTTGAGTTGAAAGTTTTTAAATTTGAGTTGAAAGTTTTAAATTTCAGTTGAAAGTTTTTAAAAGTTGAGATGAGAAGATGAAA